TGTATGCTGAAAAACAGTCCCACACCATGATGTTCCCACCTCCAAACTTCACTGTTGGTGTTTTTGGGTGTTATGCAGCGCCATTTGACCTCCAAGCATGATGTGTATTATGGCATCCAAAAAGTTCAATTTTGGTCTCATCTGACCAGACTGTATTCTCCCAGTATTTCACAGGATTGTCTAAATGTTGTGCAGCAAACTTTAAACAAGTTTCAACATGCTTTTTCTTCAGCAATAGAGTCTTGTGTGGTGAATGTGCATACAGGCCATGGTAGTTAAATGCAAAAGTTATTGTTTTCTTTTTAACAATTATACCTGCTAATTCCAGGTCTTTCTGAAGCTCTCCTCAAGTGGTCCTTGGCTCTTGGACAACTCTTCTGATAATTCTTTTCACTCCTTTGTCAAAAATCTTGCGAGGAGCACCTGGCTATGGCCGGTTTATAGTGAAATTATGTTTTCACTTCTGGATTATGGCCCCAGCAGTACTCAATGGATCATTTATAAGTTTAGAAATCCTTCTGTAACTAAAGCAACTAATGTAACTAATGTTTTGCAATGATAATGTTGTGAAGGTCTTGAGAAAGCTCTTTGCTTTTACCCATCATAAGATATTTCTTGTGTGACACCTTGGTAATGAGACACCTTTTTACAGGCCATCAGTTGAGACTGAACCAGCTGATAGTAATTTACACTGACAAGGGGAAAGGTTGCTTTCTAATTACTGACAGATTTTAGTTGGTGTTTTGGCTTTCCATGCCTTTTTGCACCTCCCTTTCTAGATGTGTTTAATACTTTTTCCTGTCATTCCATTTTTTTACACATAAATACATTTTTTTACTTTTTTGCTTTGGTTTCTTTGTATGTATGGATTACATGGGTTGTTACCGGCAAGTGCAGAAACTTTCATGTCAATAGCACCTTTAGAAATATATTTACTGAAAAAAATGGTGATGTGTTCTATACTTATTTTACCAGCTATACATATAGGTCAGATGACTGAGCTATCATCCTGACTTTTGTTTTCCTTTTGTTTTCTTCATTTTTGTGCTTCAACTGCTTTGTATATAATCAAATGCCAAAGCATTAAGAGTGAATGCTAAACAGCAAGGAGTTGCTGGATAGCTGTTTAAAAACACCTAAGTGTGTAATACTGTTCCAGCATGAAGGGTTTGTTATACTGATAAGCTGCTGTGCAGCACTGTGATGAAAGTTTGCATTCTATGTTGTATATGCTGTGGGCAATTCTGAGAACAATTTTCAACAGCAAAGATTTGCCAGTCACAGGATGACCCTTTTCGAAACCTTTGTTAATACAGTATCTCACAGAAGTGAGTACACCCCTCACATTTTTGAAAATATTTTATTATATCTTTTCATGTGACAACACTGAAGAAATGACACTTTGCTACAATGTAAAGTAGTGAGTGTACAGCTTATAACAGTGTTTATATTTGCTGTCCCCTCAAAATAACCCAACACACAGCCATTAATGTCTAAACCGCTGGCAACAAAAATGAGTACACCCCTAAGCAAAAATGTCCAAAATGGGCCCAATTAGCCATTTTCCCTCCCTGGTGTCATGTGACTCGTGTTACAAGGTCTTAGGTGTAAATGGGGAGCAGGTGTGTTAAAATTGGTGTTATCGCTCTCACTCTCTCATACTGGTCACTGGAAGTTCAACATGGCACCTCATGGCAAAGAACTCTATGAGGATCTGAAAAAAAAGAATTGTTGCTCTACATAAAGATGGCCTAGGCTATAAGATTGCCAAGAACCTGAAATTGAGCTGCAGCACAGTGGTCAAGATCATACAGCTGGTTTAACAGGTCAGGTTCCACTCAAAACAGGCCTCGCCATGGTCGACCAAAGAAGTTGCGTGCCCGTGCTCAGCATCATATCCAGAGGTTGCTTGGGGAAATAAGATGTATGAGTGCTGCCAGCATTGCTGCAGAGGTTGAAGAGGTGGGGGTCAGCCTGTCAGTGCTCAGACCATATGATGCACACTGCATTAAATTGGCTGTCATCTCAGAAGGAAGCCTCTTCTAAAGATGATGCACAAGAAAGCCCGCAAACAGTTTGCTGAAGACAAGCAGACTAAGGACATGGATTACTAGAACCATGTCATGTGGTCTGATGAGACCAAGATAAACTTATTTGGTTCAGATGGTGTCAAGCATGTGTGGGCGGCAACCAGGTGAGGAGTACAAAGACAAGTGTGTCTACAGTCAAGCATGGGGGTCGGAGTAACATAGTCTGGGGCCGCATGAGTGCTGCCGGAACTGGGGAGCTACAGTTCATTGAGGGAACCATGAATGCCAACATGTACTGTGACATACTAAAGCAGAGCATGATCTCCTCCCTTCGGAGACTGGGCAGCAGGGCAGTATTCCAAAATTATAACGACCCCAAACACACCTCCAAGATGACCATTGCCTTGCTAAAGAAGCTGAGGGTAAAGCTGATGGACTGGCCAAGCATGTCTCCAGACCTAAACCCTATTGAGCATCCATGGGGCATCCTCAAACGGAAGGTGGAGAAGCGCAAGGTCTCCAACATTCACCAGCTCCATGATGTCGTCATGGAGGAGTGGAAGAGGACTCCAGTGGTAATCTGTGAAGCTCTGGGGAACTCCATGTCCAAGAGGGTTAAGGCAGTGCTGGAAAATAATGGTGCCACACAAAATATTGACACTTTGGGCCCAATTTGGACATTTTCACTTTTGTTGCCAGTGGTTTATACATTAATGGCTGTGTGTTGAGTTATTTTGAAAGAACAGCAAATTTACACTTTTATACAAGCTGTACACTCACTACTTTACATTGTAGCAAAGTGTCATTTCTTCAGTGTTGTCACATGAAAAGATATAGAAGAAATCTAATAAAATATTTACAAAAATGTGAGGGGTGTACTAACTTTTGTGAGATACTGTATCTTCCAGTGTTAAAGTCATGTGCATGAAAGTTTATGAACCATATAAAAAGTGCAACAATAAAATGATGCTGAACAGTAAGGACTGATTCTCAGCCAGATTATATACATATGTGTAGAACTGAATCCCATTGGAGATGATGCTGGGTCTTGTTTGCACACTGTTAGCTAGTGTTGAGTTTTACTGATCTCATAACACAGGCCTAAATAAAGCTGGGTATCTTCTTCTATAAAGAAAAGAAATCTGTCTATTAAGAGGGAAAATACAAACTGTGTTTTTATTTTTATGTACAATATAAACATTGGTGTTTTCAGATATTCAGAATATACCGTATTTTTCGCTCCATAAGACGCACCTGACCATAAGACGCACCTAGGTTTTAGAGGAAGAAAACAGGAAAAAAAAAATTCTGAACTAATGGACTGCAGACATAGTAGAGGAGATGACCAGTGACTGCGGACAGTACAGGGATGACCAGTGACTGCGGACAGTACAGGGATGACCAGTGACTGCGGACAGTACAGGGATGACCAGTGATTGCGGACAGTACAGGGATGACCAGTGACTGCGGACAGTACAGGGATGACCAGTGACTGCGGACAGTACAGGGATGACCAGAGACTGCGGACAGTACAGGGATGACCAGAGACTGCGGACAGTACAGGGATGACCAGTGACTGCGGACAGTACAGGGATGACCAGAGACTGCGGACAGTACAGGGATGACCAGAGACTGCGGACAGTACAGGGATGACCAGAGACTGCGGACAGTACAGGGATGACCAGAGACTGCAGACAGTACAGCAATGACCAGTGACTGCGGACAGTACAGGGATGACCAGAGACTGCGGACAGTACAGGGATGACCAGTGACTGCGGACAGTACAGGGATGACCAGTGACTGCGGACAGTACAGGGATGACCAGTGACTGCGGACAGTACAGGGATGACCAGTGACTGCGGACAGTACAGGGATGACCAGTGACTGCGGACAGTACAGGGATGACCAGTGACTGCGGACAGTACAGGGATGACCAGTGACTGTGGACAGTACAGGGGACAGTGACTGCGGGATGACAGTGACTGCGGGACAGTACAGGGATGACCAGTGACTGCGGACAGTACAGGAGATGACTGCTGACCTTTGGGGAGGTGGGGGAGCGGGTACCTGAATTTGACAGGTACCCGCTCTTACTTCTGCAGAGTTTTTCTTTGATCTTACCTGTTCCTCTATCCAGCCGCGCATTGTCTTCCCGGCTTCTGTAGTGTGGGAGCTCGGCGGACAGCCCGATGCCCAGTGCGCATGCGCGAGAAGCGCTGCGCTTTGTGATTGGTCCGGCGGCTTCTGGGATCTGTCATGTGTCCCAGGTACCGCCTTACCATTCACAAAGAGCACCGCTTCTTGTGCATGCGCACTTGGGACCCGGCTGTCACGCACACTACAGAAGCCGGGAAGACAGCGCGCCGCTGGATAGAGGAACAGGTAAGGTCCCACTGCAGAGCTGAGTGGCCGGCCCGGTATTCTGACACGGCGGCGGTGAAAATACCGGACCAGCCGCTCTATATTTGCTCCATAAGACGCACTGACATTTTCCCCCCTTTTTTGGGGGGAAAAAAGTGCGTCTTATGGAGTGAAAAATACGGTAAGTAACATTACAGTGTTGTGTATTTTTCTACTAAATCTCTGCGAGTGTAGGGGCATTTTGTTCTTTTTTTTGTGGTTGCATATAAAAATATCAACTTTCAGAAACTCAGTATTTGCAGCATACACCAGTAGAATTTCATAAGAAAATATTTGTTTTTGGAATGTTTGTTTTTGGTGTACAGGGGATTGTAGGAGCTGATATTTGAACAGGTTCAAATACTTATTTTACACATTTACCACTATTTTATTTTAATTAAGACATACATGAATTAGGCAGTGTCTTCATACCAGCCTGGAGTTCGGCTCTAGTGTTAAGGCTGTTCTCTGAATGTAGGCAGCTAGTTGTATAATGTAATAATGTCTGGATTTTAGAAGACAGGTCCATTTGAAGAGCAGATTGGAGGACTGCTATTGAAATGCTCTTACCTGTATTACCATGTATTTCAGCAACATCTGTAAGAAATAGCAGCTTGGATCTTCAGGAGTTTTCTCACCAGACACAGCTGGCAAAAGAGGGGTTATCTCTTCAGGGTAAACTTTACCTAAAATACAAATGAAGAAACCAGTAGTAATATAAGGCTTATAAGCAAAATTTGTGTCAGTAGTGGCAAGCAGTGTTAAAAAAAGAACGGTGTTAAGCACCATTTGTACCTAAAACAACAGCGGAACAATGTTTTCTGTGGGAAAATACCACTCTTTCTGTTCATCCCATTGGATGACAGTTATACGCACATGGAAAAAACCCTTTGTAACTAATCTCGCTACCAGCATTTTATTTCTGATTCAGAAACAGAATAAAGCACTTATCTTACAAACAAAGGGACTTTCCTTCATCGGCATTGTACAGTTGCAAGAAAAAGTATGTGAACCCCTTGGGATTACGTGGAGTTTTGCATGAATTGGGCATAAAATGTGCTCTGAACGTCATCTAAGTCACAACAATAGAAGAACACAGTCTGCTGAACATAATACTACACAAACATTAGATGTTGCCATGGTTTAATTGCACATAACATGTAAACATTCACAGTGCAGGGAGGAAAAAGTATGTGAGGCCCTAGCTTAATGACTTCTCCCAGAGCTAATTGGAGCCAGGAGTGAGCCAACCTTGACTCCAATCAGTGTGATGATATTGGATGTGTTGCTGACAGCTGTCCTGCCCTTAAAAAACACACACCTGTTTTGGGTTTACTGGTTTCAAGAAGCACGGTCTGATGTGAACCATGCCTCGCAGAAAAGAGCTCTCAGAAGACCTACGATCAAGAATTGTTGACTTGCATGAAGCTGGAAAGGGTTACAAAAGTATCTCCAAAAGCCTTGATGTTCATGTGTCCACGGTAAGACAGGCTGTCTACAAATGGGGAAAGTTTAGCACTGTTGCTACTCTCCCTAGATGAGGTCGTCCTGTAAAAATGACTGCAAGAGCACAGTGCAGAATGCTGCATGAGGTAAAGAAGAATCCCAGAGTGTCAGCTAAAGACCTACAGAAATCTCTGGCACATGCTAACATTTTTTGTTGACACATCTACAATAAGGAGAACATTAAACAAGAATGGAGTACATGGGAGGACACCACGGAGGAAGCCATTGCTGTCCAAAAAGAATATTGCAGCATATTTGAAGTTTGCAAAAGAGCACCTGGATGTTCCACAGCACTACTGGCAAAATATACTGTGGACAGATGAAACCAAGATTGAGTTGTTTGGGAAGAACACACAACACTATGTGTGGAGAAAAAAAGGCACAGCACACCAACATCAAAACCTCATCCCCACTGTGAAACATGGCGGAGGGAGCATCATGGTTTGAGGCTACTTTGCTGCCTCAGGGCCTGGACGGATTGTTGTCATTGATGGGAAAATGAATTCCAGAGTTTATCAAGACATTTTGCAGGAAAACGTACGACCATCTGTCCACCAACTGAAGCTCCGCAGAGGATGGGTGATGCAACAGGACAATGACCCAAAGCATACAAGTCATTCAACAAAACAATGGCTGCAACAGCACAGAATACGCCTTCTGGAGTGGCCCAGTCAGAGTCCTGACCTCAACCCGATTGAAATGCTGTGGCATGACCTTAAGAGAGCGACTCACACCAGACATCCCAAGAATATTGCTACACTGAAACAGTTTTGTGAAGAGGAGTGCTCCAAAATTACTCCAGATCGTTGTGCAGGTCTGATCTGCAACTACAGGAAACATTTGGTTGAGGTTATTGCTGCCAAAGGAGGGTCAACCAGTTATTAAGTCCAAAGGTTCACATACTTTTCCTCCCTGCACTGTGAATGTTTACATGTTATGTGCAAATAAACCATGGCAACATCTAATGTTTGTGTAGTATTATGTTCAGCAGACTGTGTTCTTCTATTGTTGTGACTTAGATGACGTTCAGAGCACATTTTATGCCCAATTCATGCAAAACTCCACGTAATCCCAAGGGGTTCACATACTTTTTCTTGCAACTGTAGGTCAGAAATGATAATTCAGTTATACATATCTATCACACACACACCTATTCTCTACTGCATTTAAGCAACAGATCTATGTCACCTTCCTGCCCCTCAGCCTGTGATTGGACAGTGAGGGAGAAGCAGCAGATTGATAAACTCATCTCTCTGTTCTCTCTTACAATCAGCATATTTCCATTTAGCACATGAGTACTGAAGCACCACTGACTGACTCTTTGTGCTACATCTCCCCACTATAGAGGAGATGGCTTCTTGTGCTGCTTCTCCAAGCCTGAGCTCTGCTGTAGTGGGGATTGCAAGAGATAAGACAATTTTAGGTGTTTCACCTTCGCAAACTTATTTTTTTAATTAACACATACATGCTTAATTAGTGATTACTTTATGTCAGCCTTTTCATATAGAGAGCTTGGCGGCTCTGGTACAACTACTGAAAAGTCTCTATGATCTTCCTAAACCACCAGTATAAATAACGTTAACAGATTAAACAGCATGTCAAAAATGTGCATGTTGTCAATCCTTGGCCTGTGGCTATGCCAATAGCTAGCAGCAACTTGAATGTAGCATTATGCAACTTAGCACACAAATATAATTAATGGTGTCCTCCTGATTTATCCAGTAGTAATTGCATGTGCATTTCATTATATTTGCACTTGAAACTGCAGTTTCATGGATTACATGCCATAAGATACATCCTGGTCTGAATTCCTTTAGTGGAACAACCACAGGTATTTAAGGCTGGAAAAATGCGGAATACAACGATAATTTAATTGGCACCTTTTTTAAGCAGCAGCACAGGAGGCTGATTAATGTACTGCTATGGTGAACTGTACCAAATCAGCATTCTAGTTAAAAGCACTGTCACTAACCATCGGGTAAATTATAAGTAGTATTTATGAGGGTATCCAGTGTGCAAGGACCTCGAGATGACATGACGGCAGGAAAGCCAGGAACAAGACATGCAAATATTAGCGCCTGCTCCTCTCCGAAATTTGTCTGCAGTGCTTGAAGCCAGAGAACAAACAGCCGCATTCCTTCACATCGTATCTAAAGGATGAAAGACATTTTCATTTAAACAGATGAGAGTGCCGAAAATACAGTGCAAGTTATTGCACATGCAAGAGCACAGCAAGAAGATGAAACATGCATGTGGAAGGAGTTTGTCATGTATAGTGGCTGGTAGTAAATGCTGGTGGTTATAATCTAATCTAAATATGCTTTATGACCGCAGATACCGATAACATTTTCACACAATTTAGTAAGCCATTTTTTGTGCTCATCCAACACTGGACCAATTAATCCCTAGATGGCAGTGCCATCACATGGCTGTTATAAACCCACCTCTTATGATCAGCTTTCTCCCAGCACTGAGAAAATCTATAAGGGGGACATATTACCACCTAACCCTATACATACAAACAAACAACCTCCGCTTTGAGCTTGCAAAATGTGGAATGCCTCATTAAATTGGGACAGAAAGGGAACTTGACCTGACTTGGCCTTGTAGTAACTGAAAATACCAATGTCAGCCTTCAATCTCAGTGTTCCTGTGGAGCACCATGGGTCCTAGATTCAATTGTACATTGAATCCTTATAATTCTTAAGCCAGCATAGACGGTTTGAATCTCAGCCAGTTCAGCAGGAACCAGACGAGATTCAAACCATGTATGGGCAGGCAGCCTGCCGGATGTTACATGCAATTATTGCTAGCGGCTGTGAAAGTCGCTAACAATAATAACTTTGTTCTCTCCACAGTGACAGCTTCCTGTGGTTGGAAAGAAATTCACTCGGTCTATGGCCTGTCTTTATCTTGAGAATAAGCACCACCCCACCCTTTTTACTGTCAAACTGCAGACCTTCAGTCAGCAGTTAAGGCTTTTGTAATCATAAATTTCAATTAAGTGGTTGGTGTTTTGAACCACAAAAGGAAGGGTCTAAACCTCAATTTGGAGAGAAGCCAATGCTTTGTGTGTATCCTGGTCCTAAGATTTAACTTCAGCAGTTTCAGTACAGGTGTAACACTGTCGTTACCTTGTTAAGATTCTGAAATGAAGCAGTGCCCCTTTGCAGAAGATAGGAGTCACCAAAGAGGTGAGTATAACAGCTCTTCTCTTACAGGAATATGCATTATATATAGGTGTTTTTGGGATTGTTTTTTTTTTTTTTTTAGAGACCTTATAAGGTCTCTTTAATCACCATAAGTTTTCCCTGGAATAAAAGTACATAATATGCAAAATGTACAACATGATGCAAATTACAACATTTTAATACCTATACAACTAAGCCAGCATAGTGATTACTTTATTGCACTTGAGTTTTCTTTACATTAATTTCAGGACATTGTCTACATGAAGTCAGTTAATTCTTAGGAGTGTAACTCATATGTGCTGGTTTTGTGTCCACAGTCCAAATGACTACCTACCATAAACATTAAAAAAAGTGTCTGGATGTTTTTTTCCCAGAGATACAGAGACAACATTGTTTATCTCATGGAAATATCATGGAAACTCAGCTCCTTTGGTCTTTGTGTCTGGAGCGCACCTTCAGTGTCACTTACAACTCTACTTCCTCTTCTCTTACTTTCTCTGTCGGGGTCCCCCAAGGTTCTGTTCTTGGACCTCTCCTTTTCTCAATCTACACCTCCTTCCAGGGTCAGTTAATAGTCTCTCATGGCTTCCAATACCATTTCTACGCTGATGGCACCCAAATCTATCGCTCTACTCCTCAGCTCACTCCATTAGTCTCTGCACACACTACCAATTTACTAACAGACATATCAGACTGGATGTCACACCATGTCCTCAAATTCAATCTACCCAAAATCAATCTCATAATATTTCCTCCCTCACGTGTTCCTTCTCCTAACTTCTCTGTCGAGAGAGACGACTCAACTATCAACACATCCTCGCATGCCAAGCTGCTAGGAGTAATGCTGGACTCTGAGCTCTCCTTTCAGCCCCTCACCCAGTCAATGTCCAAAGCCTGCCGCCTCAAACTTTGCAACATCTCCAAAATGCACCCCTTCCTAACCAATAACACCACAAAACTCCTAGACCGCTCCCTGGTAATCTCTCACCTTGACCACTGCAACTCACTCCTCATTGGCCTACCTTTACATAGGCTATCCCCCTTGCAGTTTATCATGAATGCTGCTGCCAGACACATCCACCTTACCAGCCGCTCAGTGTCATCTACCCCTCTCTGCAGATGCCTCCACTGGCTTTTACTGACCCAAATTAAATTCTAAATACTAACAACAACTTACAAAGCCATCCACAACACTGCCCTCCAGCTACAAAACTAACATAGTCTCAAAATACCAAACTAATAATTTTCTTCATTCCTCCCTAGATCTCCTGCTCTCTAGCTCCCTTGTGACCTCCCTACCAAATCTGTCTATCTCCTACTCTGTTCACCTTTAGACGATCCCTGCAAACTCTTCTCTTCAGGGAAGCCTTTCCCGCCTCCACCTAACAACTGTACTTTTATGTTCTCCATCAGCTCATCCCCACAGTTATTACCTTTTGTATCTCTTGACCCTCCATCTTAGATTGTAAGCTTTACCGAGCAGGGCCCTCTGTTTCCTACTGTATTCAATTGTATTGTAATTGTACTTTCTGTTCTTACATTGTAAAGCGCTGTGCACGCTGTTGGCACTATATAAATCCTGTATAATAATAAGAATACTGCCAAAAATTATAATCTGGATGGCAGACTTTTGCCCCCAAGATTGTTGAGCCAATGTCTGCTGTACATAACATTCCTTTGATTGTTCTATCCTACTGAACTTGGGAGGAAGACCATCACACAACAGTTACATCTAGCCTGAAACTTAAACTGTTTGCTTTAGTTGCCAGAGAACTCAACCCTTGATATTTCCCTCCCCAGTTGTGCTCGATGTGTTGTTCTTCTACTTTGGAATTTCACTTTACTGCTACCCTAGTTTTTATTACCACTCCTATATTTGAATTCACCATATTATAAAAGAATACATAAAAAAATCCAACAGGTAAAATGTCAACACTTTTGTTCACGCAATTCACAAACATGATGTCACACACACAAAAGAACAACTCTCTGGAATAAATTCTGAGAAATGTGAAACCCATGGATAGATCACTAGCTCCCACCAGTTTTAAACAGAGACTGCTTAAGGCTTTGACCCTGTCCTAACCTTATGGGTCTTAAGTGTGCCAGAGGTGGAGTTCCATTCAATATATACAACTCCACTCTCCACTCACCAACTGGAGATTATACTATAAAACATATCCACTCATATTCCTTTCCCCTAACAATTTCCACTTATGCTTTTCCCTCTCCCATGCTTACTCCCGTACCCCTTCGACACAGTTTCTTGTATTTTATGTATTATAGTCAGGCCCCGCTGCCATTCTCACCACACTCATTTGGATCAGAGCTGCCCTGCCAAATACTCACTGGGGCTTTCTGCTTCTTTGTCTTTATGGTGAAATGGGGCCTCTCAGTGGTATTGTTACTTTTACTTGTAATACTTGCAAGTATAAAGTTTACTTTGAATTTTACTCATCATTAGTTCTTAAAGTACACCGGTTAAAATAATAAAAATGTATTGAATGAAAAAAAAAAAAAAAAACAATAGGCATGGAACCCCTTTGAATCGATGCAGATGACATGCTGACCTGGGAACTTAAAAGGAGGAGCATGGGCTTAGAGAAAAAGCAAGCATACATATTCACCTGAATGCTGCAATAATCGGTGTGATGCTGCAGCTGTCCCACGTCGGCTGTAAGACCGAGAACTGAGTGATGTCAGTCTTCTCAGAGTGGAGAGCAGAGACTGTCAGTCACACGATGAGAGGTGGAGCCAGCTATCAATCGGGCAGCTGGGAGGATCCCAACAATATTGACAGGACCCTTCCAGAACCCAGAGTGGCTCTGCCTCGTCAGCTGATAGGGAGCAATAGCTTGCTGTCAGATGATTCTGGGTCACAGGAATGCAAAATTAAATGCATTCCTGTGACCCCACAAGAGAACTACGGCCAAAAAAAACTTTTCTCCTACTTCTCTTTTAATGGATCTCAGCATCCTGACCATTACGTATCTACCAGACAATAAAATAAAATATGGAATTAAAATTGTTAACTCCAATAAAGTCATGAATGGTAGATCTGTTCTTGGTATCATGCTGTGAAATATGTTAATTGGCTTGAAACTAGAGGTTTTTAAAAGGAGTACTAAAGTACACTGGGTGACATCCCAGCTGAAAGGCATATTTTCAAGAACATCTCAACTTATAAAATGACTGTCTCTTGTTTTAAGGCAGCAGGAGTTCTTCAAACTATTATTTCTACATAAGATTTGTCCTTCAAATTACAGTCACTGTCGAGCATTTCTCCACACTGCTCTTTTGCAGGGAACAGTTCTTCCTAGAGCAGCTATATTTGGAAACATTTTTTACAAATGTTTGTGCGGGGAAAAAAAAAAAAAAAAAGATATTTAAGTGCGTGTCAAGTCAAACATTTTTTTCTGGTTTTGGATAGGAAGGATTAGAACTCCTGCTGGATTTTTACTGCTACAGTGCATCCAGAAAGTATTCACAGCGCTTAACTTTTGCCACATTTTGTTATGTTACAGTCTTAATCCAAAATGGATTAAATTCATTTTTTTCCTCAACATTCTACAAACAATACCCCATAGTGACAACATGAAAGATGTTCGTTTTGAAATCTTTGCAATTTATTAAAAATAAAAAAAACACATGTACACAAGTATTCCCAGCCTTTGCCATGACACTCAAAATTGAGCTCTGGTGCATCCTGTTCCCACTGATCATCCTTGAGATATTTCCACAACTTGATTAGAGTCCACCTGTGTGAAATTCAGTTGACTGGACATGATTAGGAAAGGCATAAACCTGTCTATATAAGGTCCCACAGTCAACAGTGCATGTCAGAGCACAAACCAAGCCATGAAGTCCAAGGAAATGTCCGTAGACCTCCGAAACAGGACTTTATCAAGGTACAGATCTGGGAAAAAGGTACAGAAACATTTCTG